CAATATCCACAATACCCTGGTTTTGTAAACCATTTTCTATTTCATCAAGCTGAAGGTGCTTCAAGAGAGTCTGCATTCTGGTTCAACATGCACTTCAAAGTAAGAGATGAAAGGGGAGAGGTATACAATGATGAATTACTTCTCAACCTACATTTCTGCCCTTCCTTTAAGTTTGCTATGATTTATAGAAATACAGTTTGGCATTTCAGGAAGAAAAATTTCTTTCCTCCCTCCCTTGCTATCTAAAACATACATCATCCATAAAACAGGCTCTGAGTGAAAATTACGACCAGCTGTAAGAGTGTGTTTCTCTCTGCTACCGAGGGAATTTCTAGCAGCAGTGAGCTCAGTAACTGAGGATCTAGACTTTACAGGATGCACCTCAGAAGAGTTAGAGCTGCTGTAACTCTCCCTACTGGAAAGAAAACAAGCTGCTTCTGAACAGCCATGCAGGGCAATCTCAACCTACACTATTCTAAAGGAATTTCCAGTAGTATGTACAGAATTAAATACCTATTATATTTTCAATAGGTGCCTAAGGGATGCCTCAAGCAGGCAGACAGAAAATTAATTTAAACAAAAAATCCAGACAGAGCTTTGCTAGTGACAGAGGAAGAAGATTATTCTATAAGCCTCCTGTTTTGCTGCAGATTGTTACAGACCTGGCGACAGGGCAGGTTAAAAAAAGGTCAATTAACCTGCCTTTTCTGCCTTAGAATTCTGGTAACCAATTCTGAAATGTCAGAAGGTATTTTAAAAACAAAAACTAATTTGTGCTGTCTCAAATGTGTGGTGACAACATGAAATGATATCTCAATTTTTATATTTAAATAACATTTATGCCACCCCTAGGAGTCTGCTTTAAAGGCTGAAGCCAGCAATCAGAAAGTATTTGCATTAACCAACCAATAAAACACTTTCTGAATTGTGGTTTTTTTAGAACCTGTGATGTATACCACAGTGGTACACAGTAATCGTCCTGGCAATGACACATTCAGCTACACAGCTCTTATTAAAAGAAAGGAAAAATTAGAAACCCAAAGTGCTGGAACAAAGAATTACACCTATGCCAAAGCACAAATGGCTAAACAGGCTACCAGTGTGACCTCCAATTTTGAATGGTCAGATCACAAATCGAACATACTTCCCTCCTTACTCACCTAGATGAGAGATTTCTAAGCGTTATTTGTAAAGTCTTCCTTTGTGTGCTGGATAAGAACATAATTTCAGTGATTTCTTTATAATCTGGAGGTAGAATTATTACACAGACTTAGGAAGCCTCAGCTGGTGGCAGGAAGAACAAGCTTGTGTCAAAGCAGCTTTCAGAGACGGAGCATATGCAGAGGACAAACATCTGAAATAGAGCCCTGATATCCCAGAAAACTACTGCCACTTAACAAGGTCCTACCTCTCTCAGTACTGGAACACCTGACTGCAGATATGTTTTGACCTGTGGCTAATGGAAAGTATTTCCTATTGGCATTTGAGCCATCAGCTGGATCAACTGGGCCTCAAAGGCTTAAACACAAGGACTGCTGCCTGTATTCCTACTGAATGTCTCTTACTAGTTTGAAATAGATGCAATTTGGCCTATAAGCAATTGTGGAAAACATTCAAATACTTGAAGGTATAGAGGAATAAAAATCAAAAGACTAACGATTCAGGATATTATTGCAGAATGTTAAGTGATGTCCCTCTTTTATGCTACAGAAGAAGGATTACTTTATCTAAACTATAATGAAACATGCAGAAATTAGAAATGAATGCCCATTGAGTTGGCTTTGTGCTAAAACACAAAAAAATACAACTTGCTTAAAAAACTGCTGGCACATTTGAAACGAGTTTCATTATAATCCCCACTGAAGACTCTTTAGACACAGTTTCACCAATTTAGTACCTTTAATACAAGTCATTCAAGTACTGTAGTGTTCGATCACCAGAGCAGACATTTTCAAGGAGGGTTTGAAATGCAGGAATTCTGACAGACAAGGCAGACACTACCATGGTGGAAGCACAGATATATACAGGATCCTAATGGGGGTGAGGTTTTACCATTTAACAACTCTGCTCTGCACTTAACACTAGTACTAAGAGCAGAAAAATCTCTTCTGCCTGTGTTCATAGAGCTGAGGAGCATGCCTTGTTATGTGGGATCCTTCCCTTGTGCTTTGCTTTGACACATCAGGAGATCAGCTCCCAGCACAGCCACCAGGCACTCCAGATCTGTCTTCTGTGGCTGTAACACTCCCCACATCGACACTGCCAGTGTCCAGTTGCAGAAAGAAGTTTTCCCTTTAAACAAAGACAGGGTACTTGTGCCATTCAGATGACTCTGCCAGCCAACTCCCATGGCTCACCTTTGCCAACAGAGCCCTGAGCACCTTTTCATTAAGCCTGCTGGACAGGGAAGCTGGAGGGCCTTACCAACAAAGCAGCAGCAACTAAAAGCCCTGAGCTCTGATCTGCTCAGCAGAGACCAAAAAGAGCTGTGCAGCCCTGCACAGCCCACAGGGCTCGAAGGTAGAAATAGTAGCTGAGTTGTTAGCACTTCATCTTTTGATGCTCTCTCTCTCTAATCATCTCAGGGAATTCTTACTCCCCTAAGAATTCTCCAGCTCAAAATGACACTTTTGTGTTTATTTTGGTTTTTCTGCAGCAAGTGAAAGACATTTTGCAGGATTTTGGAAAAATCAAATGTATGTTTTAAAGCATACATTTTTCTGGAACCCTACTGCTCTTTAAGATAGAAGCAATGATTTACTATGTGTATTTTGGGGCCATTTCTTAAAGGAACAACCAAATACAATAAACACTTTTAAAACAGTGAGAGGTATGCCAAATGCAAAAGTACTTCTATTGTAATAATAAGTAATGTCAACACTACAGCTGTAATGGGAAGTTCCAGGAACATGGTTAAACTAAATTCTTCTTGGCTCAGAGCCATACAAATATTTCTTTTCCACATTCCCATCAATTACAGAGGTACAGTAAGTGTTTTTGTGCTTAAGAGCACTATTAGAGGGGACACAAATAAGTCATTTTTCTTGCAGTGGTTGAAGCTAACATTTCTATAAGATCATATTACACATTTGGCAGACTTGAGGCAAGCTAGATTTTTACTTGTGTTGCATTAGTAAGCCACACCATTTGAATCACCTGAAAACAGGTAGTACAACTGCATGTCCTATCCAAACTACATACATTTACAGTGTCCATGAGTAGTTTTCACTTCAGTATTGGTACAAGTATTCATGCTTGGGAAAGCAGAGAACAATTATTGTTAATTTTTTACATGCAATAACAATAGCAGGTTTGTACCATGAGATAATTTTTAATCAAAAATTACATTGTAGAGCTCAGTTGCCATTTTAAATACACGTTTTAGACTGACAAATTTATACTTAGACTTTATTAGGACAAGAATGTGATTAATAAAGAAAAGCCAACCAGAGGTATGCACATACTTTTTAGAGTGAAATAAATCACCCTCACAAGCACTGCCTCCCATCACTGACAAAGTCTATTAAAGTGTGAAAAGACTGTAGAATTGCAATGTCCTCTGTGTGTCAGCTTAGTCTGCCTGTACCGTTAATGCTTGTCTTCCCTTGAAGAAGCCCCAAACCAGATAAAAACATGATTACCCATTTTCTGAAGCTTCCAGTTCCACGTGGAGTACATGACAAAGACACAACAGGAATTGAGTGTCTACAATGCTAGTGTAAAAAATGAATGTCTTATGGAATTAATCATTATCATTAAACATGAAAAATTATCAATGGAAACCATGTTTCCAAATTGGTTTTTCATCCATGTTTCAACCCTTCAGCTCATATGACCATCTTAGAAAACAAATCAAGGTACTTCACCAAGAGTTAAGTATCACCTTATATTTTGCCTGTTCTTACCAATCCTTTACATACAACTTTACTGGGAATATCTGACCATACAAAGACAGCACCTAGCCAGATACATAGATGAGGGAGGTTAGGGAATACAGTTTCATTCTCTTCAAGCCAAACTGGTAAAAAAAGAACTGAAAAGCCTGACCTTACACATCAGACTACAACTGGCAGGAGATTTCTGATCAGTGCAAGGATGACTGTGGGGCAGCTACAGCAGTTAAAAAATCTTAAATGTGCAATTACTAACATGGTGATCCAGGAAGACAGCATAGTTTTATGGACAGTTTCATGCTGGATGGTAAAAATGAACATATTTTCTCGAGTTAAATTTGATCTCAATTGCAGTATCAAAAACTGTAGAATTATCATAACTGTATGTATTACTGTACATGTATTTTTGTAAGCACTAAAAGAGCTGAAATAGGTTAAAGCTCTCAAATGTCACTGTAGTACATTGCTTTTTTACTAGAATTCTGTTAGGTTTTATTTGCAATAATTTTCATGGTAGAACTATGCAGACACCCTTATTTTACTATTACATTTCATGTGGAAAGGCAACTATTGCACCAAACCCCTCCTGCATAGCCAGCTGAAGAAATATTTACTCAATCTAAAGGTGATAAAATTTACCCTTCCTTCAGAGTGGCTTGAACAACCAAGGCATGAAAACAACTCTTATTTGAATGGTGAAGAACGGCAGTGCTGAGAGAGTTCATAGTCCCTTTTAAAGTGACCTTTAAAGAAGTCTTTATTTCTTACTCTAGACAGCTGGTCTAGACTACCTACGATATAACCATTGTTTGGGTGCTGAAAGCACCAATCTAACAAGGCCACATTAGGTACTTCTGGCTCACTGTTCCCCTTTCCATTACATGGCTAAAATTCGAGCAGTGCAAAAGCTCTGATCTTCACCATCAGTGCACAAAGAAAGTGGCTGTACCCCATTTTGACCCCTCTTTCTGAGACAGGAATACAAAAGTATTTTCAGACATAAGGACTGCGGCATATTAGTCACTACAAGAAGTGACACTATGGGATCTCAGCAGTACATTTTAGCTCCCTAGTTGTAGATGACATAAGGAAAGCACATGGACTTACTGACAATTCTTTGATTAATTTTCTTAATTCCTTGTGCCCATGCTTCTTCGCAATACTTTCTGGATCATCTCCATATTTATTGGTTATTTTGCAAGCCTGTGTGGCCTCAGGGCAGCAGAGTAGACATGTTGCAAGCTTCTTCAAACCAAATCTGGCTGCACAGTGAAGCAGGGTAGGAAATTCTTCCAAATGGCTATCTGTATAATGGAAACAAAGTCTTAAGAAACAGAAGTTCTGCTTTTATAGAACACCTCTTATAAATGTCTTTTGAATATTAGTGCTGTGGAATCACAGTTATCAACCCCTAGTATTGAACTAAGACCCGAAGAATTATTTTTTCAATTAACAGTTTTACAGTGCCTACATGTATAATCAATAAAAGAGCGTTTGCTATAACTGAGAAATCTCATTTTTATCCTGACAGAGGAATTTTAAAGCACTTCAGTTCTATTGAGAAATAAACTTTCTTGCAAAGGGCAGAAAATTCTACATCCAAGACATGCTTTTGCTTAGAATATCTTCTATTGGGGCATTTTTACAGATTTATGATACTATATTTTGATATTAAAAATAATTTCTGAAAATTCACAGGACTACCAGACAGTTGGAAAAATTTGATTACCCCTGTAATGACAAATCAGAGAATTTAAAGATGAAAAGTTTTTAGGGTTTATCTGAAATAACATTATATTAATTTCTAACCAAAACCATTTTTACATTGGAGAACTGGGACATTCAATTTATCATTTCAGTATCTTCCTGTATTTAAACTCTATGAGTGACCACAAGTTACATACAACAACAACCAAACAGGCAACAATAAAGAAAAACAGTTCAAACATAAAAAATGCTTCTCTCTGCATTCATACTCTACTTTCTGATTACTTGTGGCTTGCTGTGCATAATGGTCTATAAATTAGCATGCAGTGAATCTCTTCTCCAAGCATGCATCCAGCTTGCCCCAGGCGCCATCAACTTTTGCACCCTGAGGGTCCTTCCTACCCTGAGCATGAAGGAATCTCCTCCCTAGTTTGCTTTGAGCCTGGCTTCTGCTAGGGTTTAACTCACAGTTCCTAATTCATCTTATTCTCCATCATTGCCTGTCCTCTATGCAATTCCAGTCATTTACTCATTCCCATAATTTCTTTCTTGAAGAGCTCCAGTCTAGCTAATTGGGGCCTATAGAGAACCAACTCCACCACACATACTGCTCTCTCCTCAACCTTTTCCAGCTTTAGTGTAACTATTTTGAGATGACAGGAGAAGAGCAGCACAAGATACTCAACTTTGGGGTGAGCCATGTGATTCATGCATTGCTACAATTATGTCCTGTTTTGTTCTCAATTCCTTTGCTAATAATGCCTAGTGTTTCATTAGCTTTTTGATCTGCTGCCTAGCAACAAGTTGATGTTATCATGGAACTGCATGGTCTTATTCCTCAGCCCTAATAGCCTGCTCAAATCCTCTCATTTTGGATGACACCATAGGACTGATTTCTTTCACTTACGCCACTTTGGTTTTACCTGTAATGAATATAATCTGATATTTTACTGCATAATCACTAATCCTCTCATTCCCCACCCCCCATTAGCCTTTTTCCTTACTACCCCAAACACTTCATACCACTAGCAAAAGAAGATTTTTCCCAATTACCTGCCTCGTGGTTTTGGTCAGTTATTCATCCATACCTAGTCAGTTATTGACTTAACTAGGTTCATTGACTCTTTAATAAAACCTACAAGAAACTCAAAGTCGGATTTCACATTGCAGAAGACTTATTTTATTAACACTTCTATTAGTTTGTCCTGCAGAGATAGCATCTTAACCTGCTTCTAGGTCACACGGTTGCCTGAGAAACTGGTTTTGACATCAACTCCTGGTTTGGCCACACCTCCTAGTACTAAAAAAATGAAATATTGCATTGTTAGAAATCCAGATATTTCACTTTAAAATTTCCTCAGAGCCCTTAAAGAATGCTAGCTAGTCCAGGTAATTTTTTTGTGTTCAATCTGCCTGTTTTTGCAATAACTTCACGATCCCTTCAACACCAGTCTATTTTCACATGTCTCCCATCCAGGACTACAGCTTAAGAATTTACACAGTTTCTTATATCTTTCTTGAGTTTTATTTTATATACCTGTCATCAGTTGTCCTACAGGTCAGCCAGCACATTTTCAGCCCACAGTGTGCTGGAAGAAATTATGACTCCTTTTGGAAAGCTCTTAGCTGCCAGTCTTTAAAAAACTTTCTAATTTTTACATTCTTCTGAATAGTGAAAGTTGGCTCAGCAGTGGTGAATTTGTGTACCCTGCCTGCCCACCCTTTTTGCTCCAGCAGAATCATAATATGGGAGAGAGCAAAATCTCATCTCACCATTAAATATAAAGAACAAGCAGTTCTTAGAATAAGCATAGCTAAGTACTAACTGAGAAAAAATGTTAAGACTGTTTTGAGTGTATTTTGGACAAAGAATATTCCAGCACTATCCCACTCCAATATTATTTTGACAGGAGGTATTTGAGTGGGCTACAATTTGATCAAAAGTCCCATTAACAACCCTAAACTGATTTTTAAACAAATTTTGTGTTGCCTAACTTTTCTTTCCACCAGGCAAAGAAAAATCTAATCAAAAAACCATAAATATGCGTACTTCACCTGTGTAAATCAAGACACTTGTTTTAGAAGCCTTGGCAGATTGAACTTCCATCAACAAGAGTATGGGTTGTAGTTTATATTCCCTTGTATTTTCAGTGTGCTTTAAAATCTTTTGGGCTCCAATAAGAAATCTTAAAACTGCATAGCACCTAAGATTTTTTGAGACAAGTAGATGCTACACAACTGTCATTTGAAGAACTATCATTTTTAGCCCAGAGTATATGCATTCAACTTGTTATTTCTGACTTGTTTTTCCTAAATGTAGGAAAAAACAGGATTCTCTTAAAGCTCAAACCTGAGCTAATATATAAAAAAGCTTCCACAAATCCTCCAACTGCTTTTCTTAATACTTGTAGGTTTTGCTATTTTTTTTGACGTTCAGCAATGCAGTAGGCATTGAGCAGTAATTGTAAAGAAGAGTAAACTTTATGAACTTTACTCAATAGTTTGCACCAGAAGATCAAATAAATAGAGTCACTAAAAAGAGCCTTAACATGATATTAATAACATACTCCAAATTAATTTTCACTCATACTAATGAAACCCAAAAAAAAAAAAAATGGTTACTAATCTGAAAGGCAATCAAGTCTTTATTACCAATGGACTGGATGCTATGATTTCTTCAGCAACAGAAAAAGAGTAGGTGGTATTCATAAGCCTACTCTAGGTAAGCCTATACCTGCCTAGAATGCATTTCTACACTCTTAAAGTAACACAAAACAGAGGTATTCCAAAACCACTTCAGCTGTTTTTTCTGGTCACCATTCAACTCCTCCCTAGCTGAGTTTGATATTCAGGCAGGACTCCTACACTTACATACTTCAAACATTACAGGGAACTACATCATTATCAAATGAAATATCTCAGCCAGCCATAGAGGATGGTAAAAATAAATAAATTAATAAATCAATTTCCTAAAACAAACATTTTTTTTCTATTGCTGCTTGTAGTAAGCAGAAAAAAAAAAGGTGGTTGTCAGGCAGGAAACTTCAAAAGCAGCATTGGTGGTATAGTGAGATCTTCTACATAAAACTCAAAGAGGAAATGAGTGGTTCAAACCGACACTTTTAGTCTCTTCTACTCATGAACCTGAAGCCTGGTGGCATCAAGTTGTGACACAAAGCAAAAAGTCATGATGAGGACCCACAGATGACTGAGCTTCACTAACTTAAGACAGTTTTCAATACTCTGATTTTCAGGCAGTCAACCAGCAGCACACCCTGCACTCACACAAAGGACACAATCTTTAAGGGCCAAACTTTTCCAGACTTGCTGATAAATCCTCCCCCAAAGCATTGAACTACTCGAGGCCATCTCAGTACAGCTGTTGTCTTGGTAAATGCTATACTGACAGTGGAGATGGCTGCTGTTTTTTCAGCAACCTCAGCAACATTTCAGTGACCATTTCTGTATGCAGCTGTGGTACCAGTAGTCACCCTCTGCTAATAATAATTAGCTAGTAACATAAGCTAATAGCTTTACCTCACATGCAGTGAAGGGGGAAAGAAGTTCTTAGGCTTGGCTTCTCAGAAATTTCTCCCCAAAATCCATAGTAATTATGAAATACAGTAAGGTTAACAACCTCAAAAGAGATTATTGAAATCTCCTGGTCTTTGTTTTTTGCCCTCATTCTGAAAAGAGACACCACTAACTGTTTGAATCTCTCCCAAGTCACTAGGAAAAGGTGAAGAACTTCTCTCTTTCCGCCACGTTCTACAGCAGAAATTGATGATGACTATGGGTACCGCAGTCAAAATAACAGGTAAGAAAAGTCCACTACAAGATTCATGTTTGTTTTTTAAATTATAACTGTTCTTTAATTGCCAATTCTTAAAACTGAGTTGAGCTCTTAAGACAAACTAGATGTTCTGCTGTAAAGAAAATTCCTCATACCGTGTTTAACCGCTTTAACTAGTTTTGTATTATACAGAGTAGGAAGCGGCTGTAATTATTTGAAAGCCCACATGCTTCAGGAAGAAAACACCATTCTTGAACTTGCAAGTTTGTCACACTGAATTGGTGAAAATTGTTGGAAATTTTGCCTGCTGTTAAACTGGAACAACTGGTACACTTCAGCTAACTATACAGAACTGAGCAAAAGTAGTAGTTACAAGGGTAAAGCAACGAGCAGCTTTTACTCAACATCAGCCCTTTAATGGAGAATGTTAAAAGAGTAAAGCTGTGGCTGTTTGGCTAAGAGCACTAAGAACTGGTTAGCTGATGCTCACAAGCTGGAAGGAAAGGTTAAAGGGAAAGTTCTCAAGTGGCACATTTTTAAGTGCTTTAAGGTGGCTTCTTCAACTTTCAGCTTACATTGAGGCCAGTGCTTGCTTTTAATTAAAGTTCTATTTGACATACACAAGGTTAAGAGGGAATTGCTGGGGGGTTTTTTTGTACGTTTTGCCCTGTCATAATCCTTTCTCTTCTCCGCAGAGAATTCTGAAAAACCTCAGCTATAAAACAGAGCATAAAATCTAATATTACTGTATCGTATCATTGTCTTAGCCTGCGGGAATTTTCATAAAATTGCAGTAAGGAAACAGAGCAGCCTACAGTGCTATTTCTGCACATCTTGTAAGACATCCTTCTTTTATTTCCCAAATTATTGAAACAGGACATGGCTGTTTTCCTTAGCAATTTAAAGAGAACCTAAGATGACGTCTACAGTGTTAATACCAGTACATTCTCCCTCCCCCCATTATTCTGCTAAAAGCTAAAATCCCAGACTCTATTTCTTCTTTTGGGATAGGTGTTTCTTGGAAAAAAGAATTACAGAAATCAGAATAGGATTTGCTATGTTGCTAGCAGTTTTAGGTGACAAAAAGCACTGTTTTCTACAAAGCAAGTTCAGGACTTTTCATAAGCATCAGTAGTTGAGTTTAATTAGAGATATAGTAATAGATAACTTGTAAAAAATGAAAATTAATTAATAGTGGAAAATGAAACTGGTTTTCTTCAAGTAAATTGCTATTTCTTGGACAGAAAACAATGCAACAAAAATTCCCAAATCTGAGGATTCTGAGAATCAGGGCTTTCCAAGAAGAATCATATTTCTTAAGAAATATTTTGAAATAGGAGTTTGGATTTGTCAGTATGCTTTGAACTGAATTCTATTACAAGAATATAAAGAAATAATTTGCATACAATATACCCTGAAATAAATTCAGTATGGAATGTACAATATTTAGACAGCATTTCCACCTTTAGTTACATTTTTCCACAAGGGATTACACCACCCCTAAAAATCCCAGACAAGTCTTGGCTCTGTCTCCAGTTAATGCTGTTCGTTAAACATAATATTTTCCAGTGGTTTCTATTCAGCCTGCATTTAGCTTGCTCATGTGTATCAGAATTAATCTTCTGCACCCTTGCCACCTGTCTTGACTATACCAGCCTAGACACTGAGTACTCACAAGTACTGCATTATCATACTAAAATAATGTTGAACAGTCATTTTGGGGATAGGAATGGCTCCTTAAAAGTTATGTAAGCAAACATGCATCTCATGATAGTTTTGATCTAAACCACTGTCTATATAGGAAAGCATACTGCATTTTTATTTCATTATATTACATACCTTTTGTATTTACTTTTACATGCCCAAATTTTTAATTACACAGCTTCACGCTTTGTGAGAAGTCAAACCATGCAATTCATTAGTTATCCAATCAATTAACTAATCATAAGTTCTTCATTCTTGGTTCATTTTGAGGTCATACTGAGATCTTTCAAGTGCAGCAATTTATTAGCTGTACCCTGATGTGCAAGGATGTTCAAATAAAGCATCCATGTAGAACAACAGAGAGAAAGGTTTCTCTTCCCCATGCCTCATGCTGAAAGCCTGTGCTCCTCTCACTTCACTACTGGACATGTCTAGTGGCAGTTTGGGATGCTTCTGTGGGAGTCAAAGACACAGGTTTATATACCTTTCAGGCAGAAGAGGGATAAGAGTCTAAGACTTCCATATTCTGAGTGCTTCCAGCACTACAAACACATCCTTCTTTCATGAAGAATCTGGGCATCTAACTTTGCACCTTTGTTTTGGGCAATACATCAAACCAGTTCATTTTAAGGTCACTATTGGCTCAAGCAGTCAACTTGCTCTTGAAACACACAGGCTTTTTTTGGGGCCATAGCAGGTTGGTTAGCATTGTTCTCAATATTCAAAAACATCACCAGATCTAATAGTTATTAGAGAAGTGAAACATCTTTTTCTCATCAACTAGCATTTCACACTGGGAAAGACTCTTGAATCTGTGTTACCCTGCAGTCTTGCATAGGAAAATTGCAAGGACAGGTGCCTCATTTATTTGCTTCCACTAACTTTGACATTTAAGCTCATTTTTACATTACAAGTTAAATCATGTTTATATAATACAGAGGAGTGAATTGCATCAACAGAGAAAAGGAGAGGAAACATGATGACGATTCCAGTAGTGCTACATTCAAAACTTGTTTGCATTTGGTTATGAGCAGTGGGTTTACTGATTGTACAGAGCTTATTTCTTTCTCAAAACCATAGTCCAGCTACACAAAACAGAAGTCAAATGGCATCCTGAACACATCTTTCTCAAGTATTTTATAAGGAGAACACATTATCTTGAGTATTGCTTTTCCCCAAAAGTTTCTTAAACTGAGGTTTAATCCACATTTGAAATAACATCATAATGATGTTTTCAAAACACAAGCTAAATAACCACACTCTTGGTTTATTGCAAACCAGTCTGAATCCCAAATAAGTGGTTAATGAATTCAACCAGGGCCCTCCATTTTGTACTAACAGCAGCTTCTGTTGATGCATGACTGAGCTGTGCATGTAATGTATCTACCTTATAGAGAAATCCTATTTTAACTCACTGGGATGCCTTCTTTTAAAAATTAAAAATAACGAAATTATCTTTTGGCCAGAAGTAATGAAAGCCATTAAGTGCATAGGTAGTAAAAGTGACTGGAGAAGTTTAGTGCTGTTCTAAGATCAAAAGCCGTCCATTCTCTTCAGATACAGAAAAGTTTCAGATTTTCCCCATACTTGGAAAAAATGAAATTTAAACTGAATTGCAGAAGAGCAAATAGTAAAAAGCATATAATGTATAGGCATCTCCACATCTTATTCCCCATTTTCTCTGTAAGTATAAATTTTCTCAGCTGTAAAACTGCCAATTTGCAGTTAATCCAAAGCTGATCAAAAATCCAGAGAAGTATACATACAAAGTATTGAATCACAAAGTGATGATTTACAGAATTCTTTCTCCCATTTTTTCTGCTTATGTTGTCTTTATTTGTGGATTTGTGGATTCTTACATTTCACTAGAGGCTTTCAATACTTAAGGATTGTCTTATTAACATTTATATGTAATAACCATAGCATCAGTAATAAAAATCAATACATAGAACAAGTGACTCACTAGCTTGGTGATGGTGCTCTTCTTCACTTTGGAATGGGCTGAATTCATAAGCAGATATTTTGCTTTTCAGTAATGAAGTCAGAACATCGTCTACCTTCTCTACAGAAGAAAATTTCAATGCCTGCTTAAAGACAAAAGAGAAAAAATACTAGTGTATTTGCTGCATATATATTTTTAACTTTATCCTCAGAGTGCTGGTGAATCAAATTACTCAAAGCAGTATTATGGCAAACTCTCAGTAAGAGCAGCACAGTTTTTGAAAACTATAGAGGAGATATTTTAATACAAAGAATCATGACAACATGATCCAACTGTACATAAACATGCATTATAACATATGAAGTTCATCCATAACTTAAAAACTTCTGGGTGAAGTGTAAGGACAGGAAGAGCTATGTTTTACTACAGCAGTAATTCAGGGTGAGTTTAAGGATTATAGTAGCTCTCTGTTACCCAAAACTTTTACATTAAGATTGTGGACTTTTCCAGGTAGGAAACAGCTTCAGTTTCATCAGCCAAGACATGACATTGTTGACAGAACAAGAAACTGATAACAAGCAGATAGATCAGCTTCCTACTAAACACAAAGTCTTTAGACAAGGGAAATCTGCACTGACTGCCAGGAGATTTTTGAGTGTCTCTTTCTGGACAGATGGTTGAGATCTACACCTAACAACTTTAAAGGTAGCCATAATTAAGTATCTCTTTGCCTGGCCTGACAAGAGCAACCTGACTACAGAGATTTGAAGAGTAAGGGTATTTTACAACAAGTACTACAGCTCTAGTCTAGTCTGTGCTACACTGGGCACCAAAAGGAGCTCAGCCACAGCAGAGAACTCAGGGACAGTTGTTTTACTCTGCTCAGGGTAGCCCTGTGTTAAAGTTTGCCTTCCCACAGCTGGACTGTGGCTGGTCAAGACAACTCTGGGATAACTAAAATGGAACATCTTCAGACATGCTCAGCATATGAATTTAGAAAGTCTATGACTGACATGCTGAGGAGAAAATGACAGGGGGATGTACTAACGAAACATGAAGTTTAATTCCCAAGATTGCTAAAATGGAATTAGAAAAGTTAGTATGACATGATCAGAAAACACTGAATGCAGAGGCACGATATAATTTTCATCCAACTCCTACCAATACAAGAGACATTTATGCAGGTAGGAAGCTAACAATATGATTACTTATTTTTCCAATAATTAACCCTGAACCTTCCAATATTAAGATATGCAAAATCCATTGCATTTCTTTTCATAATTCACTCCCTTTCTGTGCTGTCACACTACATTCTCAGTATTTTTTATTCAATAATTATGAATATATGTCATAACCTTCAAAATCCAAAGCATTAAGAAAATACTCCACCTAGGAAAAAATATCTTTCAGGCTTGTTCTAGAATAACAATCTGAGTACAAGACTACTATGTAAATTCAGAAAGCATATGCAAAACCTCCCAAAATATCTATAAACCTCCAAACTATTAACATGTATAACAACACTACATTTATAAGTTATTAAGAGGAATAATATCAAAATTCAGTTAGGAAACCATACTATTCTCGCTCATTCCAAAGACATCTTCTTAGATATGTTATCATTACACTATATTAACAGAGTTCAATCTAGAGCAGGAAAAAAAACAAGTAACAACACAGGAACTAGCTCAGTTAAGTGTATATGGCAGATCCCGTGTCACGAGGAAAGAGGCTCAAAACCATTGGTACTCACTGAAGCAACTGTGTAGTAGATACAAATTTAAATGGAATAAAACAGTCCTTCACAACCTAAGATGGAACAAGTTCTTGAATAGAAAAAAGCTTCAGAAACTTGTAGCAAAATTTCTCGTACATCAACAGGCCTTCCCTCCAATGACCAGCCTGTCCATTTCTATGAATTACAAGTCAAGAACAATGCACTTCTTATACAAAGTTATCAGTGCAATCTGCTTCATGTTTTCCACTTCAACTTTTTGTTTTTCCTCTTACTCTTGGGATGTAAAATCTGAAGGCTTAAGCAATGATTTAATAAGCTATGCTGTTAACTAAACCATAATGGGGAGCTTTGTTGCACTACTCTACAGCAAAGATACAAAAGGAAAAAAAGATTAGTTAATTTAAAAGAAAAAATTTAATTTTAAAAAAAAAGGGCATCTATGTCTTTTATCTCACCTACAGGAGGGCCTGTTTCAGCACTTATGTGAAGACAACAGCTAAAACAGAACTAGGAATAGGGCCACTCTGCACTATCTAGTTCCATACCATAAAGGGCACCTCCCCAAGAAACAAGTTGGTTTAAAGACTTCCACTTTACTGCCCATTCTTGCCCCAGAGCACTCACAGACTCAAAGTCTGCTGTGTATATGTATTTTAACATACCCTACACAGAACTCTACAGGCCCAAGAAATCTCACCAACATTACAAACCTGAAGTTCCTAAGGAAGCTTCACAAAAGCAAACAGAAGCAGAACTGTATTTAAAGTTGAACTTAAAATTAAGCACCCTGCAAGAGATCTCTGAGCCACTTAGGAAATTGAGAAAGCCACCTAAGCAATAATGCTAGTTTCCCCCAATGTTCTTACAGCCCCTCAGAACTAAGCTAGTGACTTTGTAGACAATTTTTTCCCATACTCTGTGGAGCACAGTCAACTATTCTCTACTCCCATGCTGGGAGTCCTTCCACAAGTCTTACTGCTAGTCCCAGTACCACCTCCTCAGCTGTAGGCACTATCTCTATTCCCTCTCCCCTTTCCAGAGCAACAGGACACAGCTGTGAACAGAAAAGCCCCAGGTGCTGACCATCACACCTGGGCTTCCAAAGACATCCTTGAGAAAGGAGACCACCAAGCACAAATTTTGCTACTTTTGTCAATGAGATTACCTACGTTCTTTAATAACTGCTAACCAAGCCCTGAAAATGTGTGCCACTGAAACACAGCATCCACAGCCAGTAAATTAACATATTCCACGCTGGCTTTGGCAGTACTAACAAGGTTACATTTACATAAAGATGAACTTCTCCATTAGTTCTTACATATCAGACACTACTTTATATGCACTTCCATATCAGGATTGATTCTGCCAAAGAGAATGGGCCAGGTTTAAAATCAGTCAGGCATTTCTAACAGTTTTAGCCAGTGATAGAATATGGACAGCTTTCATACCTAGAGGAAAAGAAAGAAGCATTTTAAAATAACAGCTGTCGATGTTGCTGAGAGGATTGAAATATTAAATACAGTTTCAAATGAAGTATCTCTGGGGATCAGGCAGAGATGCATACAAAATATTACCACATAAGTCATATAGCTATTTTACAAGTTTTCATAGAGAAGGCAGCAGTTTATTTTCATGATTTTTTTTCCAATATCAACTGTAACTGGAATCCTGTTTAATGACTATGATAAAAACATCATTGAAGATATCAAGTATCTCAGAATCATAGGAGTATTATTCAACTGAAGTTTGTCATAAAGACTTCCTCAATCTCTTTAGATATTCTAAGTCACTCAAGCTAACATGAACTTGACAGTTTCAGTAATAAGAATATGACCTTAGCTTCAATTTTTTTTTTCTCCTTTATTTTGAAACCTAATAAATCTATGCCAGGAAAGCCCAACACTAAATAATTGAATCAATATTTCCATTTGGTAGAAAAACTCTGAGAGAAAAATCAATACAGCATGTAAATCCAGCAGAATGCTGAAATTAGTTGGTGTAAAGAAAAAACATGAAATATGAAAAAGTTTAATTATGAATTATAAAAACCTTAAAATCAGTCTATACATTAGGTTACTGTAAGAACAAAAACTCCCTAAGAGAATTTCTTGAATGCAGAATTATGTGAGAGAGCCAGAAATCATGACCTTTATCCAACTTTCACCTTCCTTTATCCTCATAGCAAATCCATTCAGCATAATGGTTCAGTTATTATGATCACAACTCTTCCTACTTTAATATTTCAGGTTTTTTTCTTTCAAAACTCATGCAAAGAAACTTATTTAATTTTATTTATTTATTCAACTAAATTTTAAATACTTTTTTAGTTGTTTAAATTGTCTTGCTGATGTTGGTAAATGCTTTTTAAATTCAGAAAAATTTGGAACAGAAAATTACAATCTATCAGATGTAGCAAAGAATTTCATCCAGACCCATTACTTGTAAAATCTTAGATTATGCTTAATTTAAACCTTAGCTAATGCAAACCTTCAGTTGCTCTCAAAAAACAGATCCATAAATGCAGTGATACCATATTTTGATAGTATCCCACTAAGATCCACTAATTCATCTGACCATCACTAAAAGGAATGGATAGCTGCAATCCTATTTGTTGGGTTTTGTCTATCTCTTTGGCTTTATTGGGGGACAAAGTGGAACATATCAAAGGAGCTGGAAGGGTTGGCAAGACAATACAGAATATAATGTAAGCATTTTACCAAAGCACTGTGTCTTTGGTATGAACTAATGCAGCCATTTGCTTTCATCAAAGAATTTTAATAAGGAGATACTTCTCAGATTGTAAGTATTTGTGAAAATCTTGAACTTTCTCTTGAATCACAGAGTGATATTGCTTTGATAATAATTGCTGTAAGATTTTCCTATTTTCTATCAGTTTTGTTTTCCATTGTGTTTGATTGTTACTTTGCATAGATAAATGACTGTTGCCCCAGGACACTTTTGCAAACAAGTTGATAGTCTCAAAGGTTTTAATTATCCTGGTTAAATAGAAGTTACTACTACTGCTGCTACTTGATGGGAATTCTAATTAGTATCAAGTCTGTTTTGCTTTTCCTTTTGTGAACATATTTTAAAGATTAAGTTAAATTATGTTCTGTAAATTGCATCTTTATGATGTAGCTTGTTAACATTAAATCAGGAGCTCATTTAAAAAGTTTGCAGAAAAATTTTCGCTACCCAGGTAGTTAGTGTACCTCACTCTGAGGCCCAGCAGGTACCATTAAATGAGACAAATCTTCCAACACATACGTAAACTTACAGAAGAATTACCATTGGTATACTTTACCACAGAGTAGCCATGACATTGTGTGGACTGTAGAGCTTACCCAATTAAAAACATTTTTTCGACATTAGTTTTTCAGTTACCAAAACAACAAAAATAATAGCATATAGCATTTTCACCTCATTTAAACCCTTGCTTATTATTCAGAGAAGTAAAGGTGAGGAAATGTTAAACATACTTCATAGCCATAACACTACAGCTGTATTTCCTGGTGTGCACTACTGCTCTGCACAGAATTATTTTTGTATTTGAATATGATTTGAATTGCATGTGCTTTAATAAATATTAGCCATGCTGGTTAAATGAAGGTTCAAACTCCTGAACAATACAAATAACTCTCCAGTGGAAATATCTTGTGTGTTGTAGGTATCTAGATTACCATGTTAATGATAAATTTTTAAATCATTATGGTAAACTTCTTATGCATAGAGGTTTAAATGAAACTTGTTAGAGGCTTACTTAGACATACTTCAAAATACAGACTAAAAAATGATGGATACCATAAAGAATTTAAGAACACATTTGCTTTTTGAGTTGCACTATTTTTTTTGTGCAACAGCCTGTTTTCCTCCCTAGAATAGAAGTAACTTGTACTTGGAAGGAATCTAGCCTCATCCTTAATAGAAAACTAATAATGCAATAAATCATATTTTATTAATCCTTTTGTTATGAGTGTAATGCCTTAGGTGGAGGATAAGGTATATTTGTCACAGGCAAATGAGATTGTCTGCACTGGAAACACAATCTATTATTTTTGTTCTGGCTTTGCAATTGCAATATAGACATTGTGGAAGGTCTTCTTGGGCTACCCACCATTCAACAAATGATACTTGAGATTCTGTCCTACCTTAATATAGGCTTCTTTTCCTGATATTTCTTATGTGCCACTGGAAAAGAACAGGCTGCAGAGCACTGCAGTCTGCTGTGCTGATCTGAAACACAGTTCAAAACCTGATTTTTTCTAAATATATGCAAAGAATCTGCATGGCAACCAGCAAATCACATGAATGATAATTCAGCAGCTGTAAATGGACTCTACATGAGCAGCAACTTACAGCTTCCCCTACAAGCTATGCCAGAAAAAATTGGTTTGATGGTGGATGAATAACAACCCTCCAAATACAATGTGGTTTAAGATTAATGCTTCTATTGGTTTCAGAAATACAAAAAAATAACACTTTAAATGAGAGAGACTTCAGTAATATTTGTTCTTATTTTCAGCCTCTGGAGTGCAGCATGTTGCTCACTGGGCATATACAGCACAAAGGATGTTTACATCATTCTCTAAACAAAACAAGAAAATGGAAAATTTGTTTTCTCTTGCCTGACTTGCTTACAACTAGACATCTCAGAGGCAGGCCTCTTAATCCTGAGCTTACTACTGAGCCATTACAAAATTACTGTGCAATCAAAAGATTGCATACCATCTCTTAGTTCATTTAGGCACTTACATTCTATTTTTCTTTAATTAAAATTTGAGAAGTCAACTTACCTGACAAGTGAAAGCTATTGGGTCGGCCACTTTCTTTAAAATGGGTTCAATTTCCTCTAGTGCAGTATAGTATTCAATCTGTGCTGTCGTCTTAATGACTCCCCCAGAGTAGACATTTACATATACAGGGCCAGCAGGAAAATCTTATAAAACACAAATCAAAACACCAGCTGAAGATATTTTACAGTCCCAAAACAGAGATCTTGGGGTATGAGTAAAAGAACAGAGAATAACACAGAAAAAACATAGAGTTGATGAACTGACTGGATTTGCATTTCACAGATGATTCAGTGTAGTCAGTTTTTTTATTCAGGTCTTTCAGTCTTTCACAAAGCTGACAAAAGAAAATGTGTATCTTTAAATCTGTATAATGCAAACCTATTGTATTGCTTCACATTAGAAAGGAGATGAAAACAGAATGCTTAAAATTTTCAAATGCCCTTTGATAGACTGATGACCTACAATCAGTGCCCTTATGCCTACATGTTAAGGAAAAGTTCATTTATCACAAATAGTGCAATCACTATTAATCTTAAAAACTTTTTCTTTATTGCAGTCAAGGTTCTCAAAATTGTATTTGGGCTAGGCTGCAGAAATTGCAGTATAATTAATTCATTCTGGTTGTTTACCTCATAAAAGCCAAGGAGAGAGGCACTTGTAGTCTGTTATTTGACTCCCTCTGTGCATGCAGCAGAAAGCCTGCTTTATGAGCACATTTCCCAACCCATTAGTGTTTGTTGTGCCAGGCATTCTGCTGGACCATACTAGCAGAGTCTTCTTGAAACACTGACTCTGCCCAAAAAACAGTGAAAAAGGGACAATTCTGAAAATGGAGAACAGGAATAGGGACAGGGAAACTAGACTAAAAGTACATCACATTAAATCACTTAAATAGAAACTGTCCAAATGTGGGTTAAAAAAAAGTAAAAAACAAAACAACAAAACGCAGCATTTCTTCTATAACATCAGATCAGCTGGACCTAAAACAGGATACTTCCAAATTTCCACTTTTCCAGATTTTAAACAGGATAAACATCAAACACAAACGATATAAGAAACAGAATTAAACTTGCCTACAGCTCTCTGCCAATATTTTTGTATTTCATTTACTTTTCATATTTTATTTCTTCATCTACTACAGAAACCTTTTTGCGATCAACAGTGTTCCGACAAAAAAAAAAATTTTGGAAGAATCTTTTGAGACCTATGCATGAAGAGTGCAGCTTTTGTTCTCTGAAATCCAGTTACAAATGTAACTTCCTTGTTTGTTATGTACTTTCTAGTCAGGTTTCTAAAAGCAAGCTCTCTGCACCATCACAATGATAAAGAACTCTCAGCCCATACATCGCCATCATTTTAGGACAGTGTTCAGGATGAAAATCACAGAATAAATTAGGTTGGAAAAGACTACCAAGGTCATTGAGTTCAACTTCTGACTGACTACCAACCTGCCAAAAAGACCATGTCACACGTGCCACATGCAGTCATTTCTTGAACACCTCCAGGGATGTGACTCCTCTACCTCCCTGGGCAACCTGTTTCAATGTTTAACAAATGTTTCTGTGCAGAAATTCCTCCTGACGTCCAACCTGAACCTCTTCTGGCACAGCTTGAGGCCATGTCCTCTTGCCCTGTCACTGGTTGCCTGGGAGAAGAGATCAAATCCCACCTGGCACAGCCTACATTCAAGTGGGTTATAGAGAGTGATTATGCTTTTCTCCAGGCTGAACAATGCCAGCTCCCTCAGCCACTCCTCATGTGAGTTACTCTCTAGGCCGTTCCCCAGCTCCATTGTCCTTCTCTCACACAATCCAGCACTTCAGTGTCTTTCTTAAAGTGTGGGGCCCAGAACTGGACACAGCACTTGACTGGTGCAGTCTCACCAGTGCCGAGTCATAGAAATCATCAGGTCAAAAAATCACGAAAACATAGCTCCAAGAAGTCACAGTGGAAAACTGTAAACTATGTGTATGTACTTCCTCCTAAGGTTATATTGCAATTATTTTATAATAAAATATGATGGAAGTTCTTCTGGGAATTCTCAGCATGCAGCCCAATAGCAAACTATACTCTGAACACATAGGTGAGGAATGTTATAATTTTTAACCCACATCAAGAATGGGTATAGGTGCGCTCCTTAAATCTGCACAGATCTTCTAAGAGAAACTGTTAAATAGTTTAAACTGTTATCAACTAGTTATGGATGGAGCAATAGAAAAAATCATTAGGAACTAGGAAAGATGAGTGATACAGAGAAATGGCATGAATGTGAACAGAGAAAATAAATTATTACCTGCATCAGAAAGAATTATGGAGAGGAGAATAACTAGATTTACTGCATTAAATACAATATGAGACATTTAGTAACAGAGTAATAAGAAAAGAATATTAGGTTTGCATTTTACGGCAGTAATTTTGAAGAATGTTAATCTGTAACTAATCAATGACATTTTTAAGCCTGCCACCTGCCATTTAACCACAGAAAACCAATCTAATAGAACCTAGGTTCCCATAAAACACAAGGCCTTCTTTCTCTGCATTACTAAAAGTGATGTGTGCAAAACTCATGTACAGGAAACATCCACAAAATAGCAGAAAGGGAAACTACTTATCAGAAAAAGTGAAGGGAGGTGAAACTTTTTAGTTTTTCCTAAAGATAAAGATTATTTTTCTTACTTAGGGCTTTCACATATTTGACATTCTGGTTCCAAGAGGCTGTCTGTGTTCTAATTCGTTGATTATCTGTTATGAATTCAATTTCTAGAGTTTCTTCATCTATTTCCTCTTTCAAGAGAATGAATATTTCACCAGGGTTCTACAAAATTAAAATATGTTCCCATTAGTCCTTCAGAAAATTATATTGGAAATGTAACACTATATTGAAAGTGTATTGAAAGAACTTTTCTTTATCAACAGCTTCATACAAAAAAATGGTACTAACAAAATATTACAGTATCTCACTGTTTCCTTTAGTATTTTACTTACATGAAAGATACAAGTACTGTAGGATTTTAAATTCCACTTACATAGGGATATTTTAAAAGAGTATTTTAAATGCATATGTAGGTGAATTGTTACATTTTCTAAGGCCCTTCTACTTTATAGTCTAGAAGAACAACATCCATCCTAATAAGAATAACCTAATATACTTTAGAGTCAGCCTCTTACAGTAAGGTGACAGTGGACAGAAGCAGCATATGATGTGAGACAATAGCCCTTTACTACCTCCTGAACCAGAGGCAAAATCACTCCCTTAGAACTGTACTGATCTCAACAATGAAATAATGTTATTATTAATATTATTTAATGTTATTACTAATATTACTTATTATTAAGTCATCTTTAAAAGACAGAAAACAAACAAAATCTGTGACATTGTGTGTGCACTGCAACCTCCATACTTGACCATGGCCACTCACATACAAAATGAAATGCAGTGCTAAATTGTGAAATAAACTTATGTTTTGCATAAACTTCCTCTGTTTATGCTGTCACATATTTCTCACAGCCACTCTGATTAAAAGCACATATGAACATTTACGTCCACTGCATATGCATGCAGATACGTACACATAAATATTTCTGATTTAATTTAAACTCAAACTAGGACTGTGCTCACACAAGCCCTGTGTAATTCATGGTATGGGCATGTATGCATCTATACATATACCCATCCTGGATTCTTGCCAAGACAAATACCACATCTCTCAAGAAGTGCCTGATTGCTTGCTCCCTCTGAAGTCTAAGGTCCACAGGACCATAATACTTCAACTCGAGATGCTAAATAACTCTAATAGAGCTGTCTCCAAACTACATTACTTGCAAATCTTTGACTGTAGTGTGGATGCAACACAAAGGCAAACTGAATCCCACTGCAGTCTTGATGCACTCTCATTTTGGTCCCTTGGCAATTTTGGAAACAAATAACAGATATAGTATAAATGAGACTGCAGCAGGAGGAGGAGAAGAAAAATTACTGTTATCCTAAAGATTTTATCATCTAGAAGTCTTACCTCACATGATACTCTTCTCGGAAGCACCAATATTGACTGCTTGTTACTTTCTAATCTTTCAGAAAGTGCCTCTGTTTTAAAAGTGAAGTTTGTTTCTTCTGATGCTCCTGTGATACCTGACAAGTTAATATCAGAGATAGTCTGGTGATCTGAAATAAATAATGTGAAATAAGAACACTGTTAATAATCCTAAACCAACAAGACATGGCAATGATGTGGTTTCCAATGTATTACTCGTGTGGCATTTGGAGTCACATTAAGGACAGCACATAAAAGCCTGGCAAAATTCCCTTAATGTAAATGTGATGAGATGTCCTCCTTTGACAAAGAGTTTCCTTCTGAAGTTTTGATATTGCAGCCTTGATTTACGTGAACACTCTCCACATATGCTTTGTCTTCCTAAAAAAAAAGGGGCAGAGCCTTTGGACTGAAATAATTGTGAACAGCACAGTCAGGGAGATCAGGCAGTTCTGTCATCTCAGAATTTTCATATGCTAGGATAAAACACAATTTTACCACTCTTCCCGTCTTTATAAACAAGGAGATGCTATATGGTTACAACATCAACCCACCTGTCTACAGGAAGAGTTTACACGAGGGCAGTGATACCTGTAACATGGTACTATGACAGTAGGCACAGATTTCTTTGACACAGATTCCATGCTCTTTGCCTGCCTTAATGGACAAAAGGATGGATGGAAGACATACATTTTTAAAATAGGATAATCTGAGTTTGGAAATGCTATGCCATTTACACAGGTAGCTTGCAATCAGTTTCTTTTCTGTTTTGCTGTACCAAAAAAGGCCCAAGAGCCTTCAGCGAATATAGTGAATCCTTCACCACACTGTAGAATTTTAATCATGAAAAAGAACTGAGAACTGCATCTGCAGGGCTCTGACTATGCCCGTGTTTTAGCAAAGGTATTCTTTACCTGCGGTGTCTCAGTTGTATCATTACTCCTTCTTTCCAGACACTCTATTACCCTGTGTGAAACACTCCCACCACCCATCTCAAAGGACTGCAGCAGCTCTTCATCATGGAGGATTAGTCAGTACACTGCAGTCACCTAGTTACGTTACTGATATCATTTCACGCTGTTCAGAGTTAAAAAATCTTGACTGGCTGATGAGACAATATCCTGAGAGACACCCATGCTATCTTGTATTACTGTAAATGATGAAAGACTCACAGTCAATTACATTCAAGGATACAAAGAACTTCTGAGGTACATATTTTCCTCTTAAATGGATATAGAATATTAAAATAAATTAATGGATATAGAATATTAAAATAAATTAGTGATGGGCAGAATGCAGAACAGTAGCAATTTGGCATTGCTCAAAGAAATACCACAGCCATTTTGCATTTCTTTGAAAAGGTGCCCAAGTGACTGAGGTACACAAACCATAACAGTGCTCCTTAGCGGCACGGAAACCTTTCCAGTCAGTGTCAGTACTGGAAATTTACAATTAGTTTTCTCACTTCTTGCTTGCCTTTATTTCTTCCATATGCACCAGTTCATCTGATACATGTTTCCTTGCTTTACTAATCTTGCCTTTCTTAAGGCATAGATTTAATAAAGTACCATGATAATAAATGTGTCTGCTAAATGAAGTTATGCCATGGCATCTACTGTAGAATCTTTTTGATTCAGGGATATGCTAGGGAAGGGAAGGTGCGGGAAGGTGCGGGAAGGGGCGGGAAGGTGCGGGAAGGGGCGGGAAGGTGCGGGAAGGGGCGGGAAGGTGCGGGAAGGGGCGGGAAGGTGCGGGAAGGGGCGGGAAGGTGCGGGAAGGGGCGGGAAGGTGCGGGAAGGGGCGGGAAGGTGCGGGAAGGGGCGGGAAGGTGCGGGAAGGGGCGGGAAGGTGCGGGAAGGGGCGGGAAGGTGCGGGAAGGGGCGGGAAGGTGCGGGAAGGGGCGGGAAGGTGCGGGAAGGGGCGGGAAGGTGCGGGAAGGGGCGGGAAGGTGCGGGAAGGGGCGGGAAGGTGCGGGAAGGGGCGGGAAGGTGCGGGAAGGGGCGGGAAGGTGCGGGAAGGGGCGGGAAGGTGCGGGAAGGGGCGGGAAGGTGCGGGAAGGGGCGGGAAGGTGCGGGAAGGGGCGGGAAGGTGCGGGAAGGGGCGGGAAGGTGCGGGAAGGGGCGGGAAGGTGCGGGAAGGGGCGGGAAGGTGCGGGAAGGGGCGGGAAGGTGCGGGAAGGGGCGGGAAGGTGCGGGAAGGGGCGGGAAGGTGCGGGAAGGGGCGGGAAGGTGCGGGAAGGGGCGGGAAGGTGCGGGAAGGGGCGGGAAGGTGCGGGAAGGGGCGGGAAGGTGCGGGAAGGGGCGGGAAGGTGCGGGAAGGGGCGGGAAGGTGCGGGAAGGGGCGGGAAGGTGCGGGAAGGGGCGGGAAGGTGCGGGAAGGGGCGGGAAGGTGCGGGAAGGGGCGGGAAGGTGCGGGAAGGGGCGGGAAGGTGCGGGAAGGGGCGGGAAGGTGCGGGAAGGGGCGGGAAGGTGCGGGAAGGGGCGGGAAGGTGCGGGAAGGGGCGGGAAGGTGCGGGAAGGGGCGGGAAGGTGCGGGAAGGGGCGGGAAGGTGCGGGAAGGGGCGGGAAGGTGCGGGAAGGGGCGGGAAGGTGCGGGAAGGGGCGGGAAGGTGCGGGAAGGGGCGGGAAGGTGCGGGAAGGGGCGGGAAGGTGCGGGAAGGGGCGGGAAGGTGCGGGAAGGGGCGGGAAGGTGCGGGAAGGGGCGGGAAGGTGCGGGAAGGGGCGGGAAGGTGCGGGAAGGGGCGGGAAGGTGCGGGAAGGGGCGGGAAGGTGCGGGAAGGGGCGGGAAGGTGCGGGAAGGGGCGGGAAGGTGCGGGAAGGGGCGGGAAGGTGCGGGAAGGGGCGGGAAGGTGCGGGAAGGGGCGGGAAGGTGCGGGAAGGGGCGGGAAGGTGCGGGAAGGGGCGGGAAGGTGCGGGAAGGGGCGGGAAGGTGCGGGAAGGGGCGGGAAGGTGCGGGAAGGGGCGGGAAGGTGCGGGAAGGGGCGGGAAGGTGCGGGAAGGGGCGGGAAGGTGCGGGAAGGGGCGGGAAGGTGCGGGAAGGGGCGGGAAGGTGCGGGAAGGGGCGGGAAGGTGCGGGAAGGGGCGGGAAGGTGCGGGAAGGGGCGGGAAGGTGCGGGAAGGGGCGGGAAGGTGCGGGAAGGGGCGGGAAGGTGCGGGAAGGGGCGGGAAGGTGCGGGAAGGGGCGGGAAGGTGCGGGAAGGGGCGGGAAGGTGCGGGAAGGGGCGGGAAGGTGCGGGAAGGGGCGGGAAGGTGCGGGAAGGGGCGGGAAGGTGCGGGAAGGGGCGGGAAGGTGCGGGAAGGGGCGGGAAGGTGCGGGAAGGGGCGGGAAGGTGCGGGAAGGGGCGGGAAGGTGCGGGAAGGGGCGGGAAGGTGCGGGAAGGGGCGGGAAGGTGCGGGAAGGGGCGGGAAGGTGCGGGAAGGGGCGGGAAGGTGCGGGAAGGGGCGGGAAGGTGCGGGAAGGGGCGGGAAGGTGCGGGAAGGGGCGGGAAGGTGCGGGAAGGGGCGGGAAGGGAAGGGAAGGGAAGGGAAGGGAAATATCCATGGTTCCTTCAGAAGCTGAAGTTTCCTTGAACACCTAATCTAAGTTAAGAAGGTTCGATGACCATCACTAGCTAGTAAAATCTGCCCATCCTACTCCTGTTTATATCATCATGCCTTTAAGGCAAAATAATTCTGAATTAAACCTGTGAATTCAGGGTAGATTGTTAAAATTACTGAACCTACATGTAGATGTACTTTACTAAAGTAGCATGAATTCCATTTGCTTTAATTTACTTTAAAAATTAAATAGGCTGCACTGAAAAAGGCTATTCTGTTTCTGAATGAGAACCCCCACTGTCCAATGCACTTTAATCCAGCTCAGAATATAAGCACAATAATTTCTTTAATTATCCCTGCGAAGACTACACTTTATTTAGCACTGCTCTTCAGAAAAATGAAGACCTTAACTCTTGCTGAGGAAAACAGTTATGATCCTTTTACAGAAGGCATTACAGTACCTAAACAGGACCTACAAGAAACATGGAGAGGGAATTCTTACAAGGGCATGTAGGGATGGGACAAGGAGGAATGTCTTCAAACACAAAGAAGGTGGATTTAGATTAGATATATTAGGAAGAAAGGCCTTACAGTGAGAGTGGTGAGACACCAGAATAGGTTGCCCAGAGCAGTTGTAGATGTCCCATAACTGACTACAGTAGGCTGGCCAGGTTGGATGAGCTTTGGGCAACCTGGTCTGGTGAAAGGAGTCAATGCTTATGGCCAGGGGATTGGAACTAGATGATCTTGAAGGTCCTGTTTAACCCAAACCTTTCTAAGATTCTGTGATTATGTATGCCCAGAGCACATATTTTGGGATTGTATTCACATTTTAAGTTACTCATAAATCTTACACTTAAACACAGAATTCACTTCAGAAGATAACTCATATGAGGTACGTGCTGCTTCTGAATTTTTTTCCTGCCACTTTAGGCAAAGGAGTCTCACAGAGAAAAGAAACATTCTGTTATCAGATTGACAAAATGAAAGAAACGAATAACAAATCTGGAAGGCACTGGATTCTCAGATGTCAGCCATCTGTCAGTGATTGTTCTTCAAGGATCATGTAGATGCACTCTAATCTATGTAAAGTTCATGACAACTTTATTTCTACAGTCTGCACTCTACTTATCAAAGATTATTTTCTTCACCTTTTAATGCCAATAATTCATCTACTGAGAACATTAATCCTATTGCTAAAAAGTTGGTTTAAATTAGGATATTTTCTTCCCATTAATAATTGCATTTTAATATTTTTTATTGTGCCTAGTGACATCTAAATGCACTATCAGAACTTCAGCCCAGTCACTACTGTGATAGCACAGCTATTGCAATAGTAGACAATTAAGAAATGTGGCTCTTACATCAAAGACTAGGATATTTAAGAGGACTAGGGTTACCCTGCTGACTTGAAAGTGGCTATAAATTTATTAGCTAAAAACCATCAAGCAAGACTACTTCACTAAATTTAAAGTCTACCTGACAATCAATGAACCAAGTACAACAGCCCAAGAACCACAGGGTTCATATTATCATTACAGTGCAGTCACCAAATTTTGGAGACATCATCTCCAGCACTCAAATTCTAACAAGCA